GTAGATAATAACAATTTTTCTTGTAGTGCGAAAGATGCACATATATAAGCTAAAACTATAGCCAACAGATCTATCTTTTTTCCTAGTTGTCTGAAGAAACCAGCAACTATGCGGCAGTGCAGCTGTGCAACGATCCGATGGAGCGACGAGCGATGCGCGATGGTACAGGAGGGTTAGGTTTGTGTCTTAAAATCAAACTGGAAAAAAAAAACTTAGGGTTTCAAAGCGTAAGCATGCAACAAATGGGGGCAGAGACATTAAAAATTGAAGGTTTTATCTTTTAAATTCAAAAAACGACGCCGTTTAATTTTTTTGTTTTCCAGAAAAAGTGATGACCCAGTTTGGGTCATGAGACCCGTGAGTTCGCTGGTTCAACCGGGTTTTTAGCCGGGTCACACCGAGTCATACTGAATCAGCTGCATATCCGGTCTGATTACTGGTTCGGCTCGGTTCAACCATCGATTTTCGGTTCGACCAGTTCGACCGGCCAGTTCGAACCGAGTTTTAAAACACTGTATGTAACTATATAGGAAAAGGAAAATACTTTATTCTTCGAAAATAAAAGCCGAAATTAAAAAAATATTATTTTTTAATAAATTTATTATAAAATAATGATTTTATAATAAATTTATTAAAAAATAATAATATTTTAACCGTTCGGATGAATTTTCAGCTTTCATTTTTGAATCTGTAGCAAAGCTTATAGGAAAATGTTATATCTTTCAAAAATGTTCGCCAAAAAATTATCCGAACAATTAAAAAATTATTATTTTTTAATAAATTTATTATAAAATAATTGTTACTCAACTATATGTCTATTCTCTTCTTTTCTCATAACTTTTCATATATCCAACTTACATTTCTTCTTGACCAAAGACCAAGGTGTTTGTTTACGGATATCGTGTATGTGTTTCTTATTTTTTTTCATCACGTATATCACTATCATTTTAAATGAGATGTATATATATTATCTTATTTAATTCATACTTTAATGTTATCAGCTTTTCAAATGTACTTCCAAATCAATTTAATTTCATTCTATTAGATTTTATTGAATTAGGCTTCTTTTTTTCTGTTTTTTTGCAAGCTTGTTTTTTAATTTTCAAGTACAAATTTTAAATAATGAGTTTGATTAAACTAAAGTTTAGATGATTTTTATCTCAATTATAAAATTTTCATTTACATTCGTTTTCTAAATCATGAAGAGGAGTGTTAATTAACCACGCTTTCTTTGTTATTAACTTAAGTATGTTAAAAATCACAAATTTCAGAGGACATCCCGTTTAGGAACCGTCTCAGATCACAGACAAGTTTGTGTAAATTCATGTTCCCAAATGATGCTTCAACTTCATGAATTTTATGATCCAGAGAAGGTTAAAAATTAAAACATAACTTTTCAATAACTTCTAAATATGTTTGTTTTTTCCATTTGCTTTTGAGTCCTAACATTCAGCTTTTCTGACCTGACAAATATTTAAATAGATAAAGATCAGAATAAAAATTATTTCGGGTTCTTTGTGTGGAGCTGGGGCTGCTGAAGCCAAGAGAGCCCAATCAGAATAAATTTTTTTCAATTGGAGTTTTAAGATCGGTTATAAGGTAACCGATCTTAAAAGTGATGCGGTGGCAATTTTGTAAATAATATGAACATTTTTAAAATCGGTTAAAATTTAACCGATTTTAAAAGTACTTTTAAAATCGGTTATTATATAACCGATCTTAAAAGGTATGTCTGGCACAACTTTTAAAATCGGTTCAAATATAACCGATTTTAAAATCATATTTTTTTATTACTTTTAAGATCGGTTATATAGGAACCGATTTCGTATGTAACCTACAAAATCGGTTCTTAAATAACCGATCTTAAATATCCTTTTCTGTTTCTACAATTTCAGCCTTCACTCTCTCTGCTTCGTTCGTTTGTTCGTGCTTAGGGTTCAGGCTTTTCGTTGCCCTTTCCGAAGAAGCGCCACTCTCTTCTTCTTGAAAGCTCCTCCTCCGCCGCCGCCGCTGTGCCGCCCGACGCCCCCTCCCCGCCGTGCGAGGTCAGGAATAATTACACCGAAGAGAACGTTAACCTGATTAAGGAAATCAAATCGAAGAGCGATTACTACGCTATTCTTGGATTAGAGAAAAACTCCTCCGTCGAAGAGATTCGAAAGGCTTATAGGAAACTCTCGCTCAAGGTTCATCCCGATAAGAACAAAGCTCCTGGCTCTGAAAACGCCTTCAAGAAGGTTTCCAAGGCTTTCAAGTGCTTGAGCGACGATGGTTCTAGAAGGATCTACGACCAGACCGGCACGCTCCACGAATTCGACAACTTCGAGGTCAACTCTTTCCGGCAGCGGAGAAGAAGAGCCACAACGACGACAACGACGCGGGATTTCTTCGACGAAGAGTTCGACCCCGACGAGATTTTCTGAGCGTTCTTCGGCCACTCCGACGTGTTTGGGCGAAACCACATTTACAGAGGCCGCGGAATGGAGAACCAGCACAACCAGCGGCACGAGGTCAACGCTGGATCGGGTGGGAGGCACCACAACGTGATGCTTTTGATTCAACTTTTGCCGTTTTTGATCATTGTGTTGCTTGCGTACTTGCCGTTCTCCGAGCCAGAGTATTCCCTGCACAAGCATTATGCTTACCAGGTTCCCAAGACCACGCCGCAGCACGGGGTTCAGTTCTTTGTGAAATCGGCGGCGTTTGAGGCCAGGTACCCGCCGGGGAGCGATGCTCGGAAGGCGGTTGAGGAGAGTGTGGTGAAGGATTATAGGAACATGCTTCGGAGGTATTGCCAGGTGGAGATGCAGAGACGGAGCTGGAATAGGAACCTGCCTGCTCCTCACTGTGATAAGCTCAAGAGCTTTGCTGGGGTTAGGCATGGCAATCTAACCCGTCCCCGTGGGTACCCGCCCGAACCCGCCCCGATTTGGACGGGGAAAACCCGTGTTTATCGGGTTCGGGTTCGGGTTCGGGTTTTCCCCGATTGATAAAATCGGGGGCGGGGGCGGGGACAGGGATGTTAATACCCACCCCGCCCCCGCAGCGTTCTTCGGCCACTCCGACGTGTTTGGGCGAAACCACGTTTACAGAGGCCGCGGAATGGGGAACCAGCACAACCAGCGGCACGAGGTCAACGCTGGATCGGGTGGGAGGCACCACAACGTGATGCTTTTGATTCAGCTTTTGCCGTTTTTGATCATTGTGCTGCTTGCGTACTTGCCGTTCTCCGACCCGGAGTATTCCCTGCACAAGCATTATGCTTACCAGGTTCCCAAGACCACGGCGCAGCACGGGGTTCAGTTCTTCGTGAAATCGGCGGCGTTTGAGGCCAGGTACCCGCCGGGGAGCGATGCTCGGAGGGCGGTTGAGGAGAGTGTGGTGAAGGATTATAGGAACATGCTTCGGAGGTATTGCCAGGTGGAGATGCAGAGACGGAGCTGGAATAGGAACCTGCCTGCTCCTCACTGTGATAAGCTCAAGAGCATTGCTGGGGTGGCGTGAAGGTAACTTTTTTCTCTGTTATGTTCTCTTTGTTTCTGTATGGGGTTTTTAGCATTGGTGGATTGGAATGTGTTTGCGGTTCAATTTCAGTGTCTTTTGTTGGGTCGTGATTGTTTTGAAGTTGAAAGTAGTTATAATGCCTTGTTGTTGTGTTGCTGCTTGAACGATTAATCGATCGTGTGAGGGGGGAGTTTGAGGATGAGATAAGGGGAATAGATTTGATGCTTTTGCACCATTTCTGGGGTTTGGTGAACTTTGTTTCCTGTTGATGTGGCTATTTAATTGCTATCAATGTTTAAAACTCTGATTAGGTTATATGTTAGTGAAGTGTGGTCTTCAAATTTTTCTTTGAAGAGTGGAGTTCATTTGACAATCGGATATATATATATATATATACATATATATATATATGTATATATAGTTCCACTTCCACTTCTGATTCATTGGTTGCATTCCTTCCCTTCTCTGATATATCAAGCATTCTGTAATAATAAGAGGTTAATTACGATTATAGATGACGATAACCATGCTTTTTAACATAATTATTATAAAATGTATTGATCAATGACGGTATAATAGTGTATGAACTATTTTCTTATATATAAACTAATCATGAATATTTTTATTATGTATCTTTGCTTCATATACGTGTAAGTGAAAAATAGTTTTATACAATTAGTTCTGTAAAACTGAATTAAACTTATAATATTACTTTCTTAATATGGTATATCAAAACTCAGTCTATTATTTATTATTAGGTTTGTTAGATCGTAATTAGTTCATTAGTAAGATGTATAAATAGGGAATAATCTTAAAATGAATGCAGGGAAGTGTGTGATGAGTATGGGAGAGAGTTGGTGAAGTTATGTGGGAGGTTGATGAAGGTTCTGTCCATAAACCTTGGATTGGAAGAGGATTTTCTTCAAAAATCATTTGGAGGAGAAGATATTGGAGCGTGCCAGAGGGTGAATTTTTACCCTAAGTGTCCACGGCCAGAGTTGACATTGGGTTTGTCATCGCACTCAGATCCAGGTGGCATTGAATTATAGTTGAATTGTTAAATTCCCTGGTAAAGGTGTTAACAACAAAAGGTTGATTTTTTATTATAGTTTCTTATAGGGTGCAAACATTTCTTGATACATACTGCTTTGAAAGATTATGCATGCACTA